TCCTGCCCAACAGGTAAAAGTAAAGTCACTATAAGTCCCAGAGGATTGCTGTCTCATTAGAAAGACACGACTGGTAGTGAATATAACCTGAGGGTCACCATGCCTCAGGCGAGGGGCAAGGTTAAGAAGTTAGGACCTTCATGGTAACCTCAGCCTGTACGGGAATTGAACCCACACTGTTGGCATCACTCTCCAATTCAACCCAGCTGGCCAGGCAAATGAGCTAACTGACCCTTTACAACAAGGTGCAGCAATACTCCCTTTCTTGTTGAATTAGAAACCAGGCAGAATCTTCCCAGGCCTTGAATGACATGGGCTATGGCAAGATATTTAGCAAAATCAGGAGAGAGTTGAGTGAGGCTCTTTTTTGACATCAAGACCAAAAAGTAACATTTTCCAACTAACTCTGGACATCAAGATGAGATTCTCAACGGTGAGAGCTGAGAGACCTATTAAAATGGATTATTGTTCATTATCAACTCGATACTATCTTAACAGGCCTCATTTCAATACACTTTCCCAATCTCCCAGCTGCTAGATAGAGACTAGACATTGCGAATTCCTGACATGAAAGTCTGAGCAGGTATCTGGTGACTCCAGCTCACTGTTTCCTCCTCCGGACCTCTATCTTAGACACCCAAAACCAACATCTCAGGGCACATTTCTTAAGCAGCAGCTGCACACATTCTATGACCGTAGATGCTGATATTTTACACATAGCAGCCTCTCTCTGTATCATCATGACAGAACTCCAATCTACTTATAGTACACTTCTGCACTTCAATGCTTCACTTTGGAGCGCACCGGCACCTTTTATTGGCATGCTGATGCAGGGACAGTTTGCACATTTTGACAGGCACCCAGCTCACAGATTGAACCAGGCTGCATCTCAGGGGTTGCTCACTCACTTCTTTAGTGCTCACTCACTTTGCGCCAACCTGGAAACTCACAGCACTCCTGTCTCGTTTTGCCTTCACTTTTACATTTTGATCCCTCAGGTAGATCTTAAAGGCTCACAGTACTTCTGTCTTGCTTTGCTGTTTAGTGTGAATAGAAAGCCAAGAAACTTGCCATACTTGTCATCAGTCATCAGTCAAGAGGTGAAAATGTACTAGGGGAGATGGCCTGGTGGTATTATCACTGGACTGTTAATCCAGAGACCCAGATAATGTTCTGGGGACCCAGGCTCAAATCACGCCACAGCAGATGGTGGAATTTGAATTCTGGCATTAAGAGACATATGATGAGTGTGAATCCATTGTTGATTGTTGGAAAAACCCATCTGGTTCACTAATGCCCTTCAGGGAAGGAAGCTGCTATCCTTACCTGGTCTGGCCTACATGTGACTCCAGACCCACAGCAATGTGGTTGACTCTGAAATGCCCTCTAGGCAATAAATGCTGCCTAGTCAGCGACGCCCTTATCCCGTGAATGAATAAAAACAAGTCGCTGTGTGGTACCATACTATGTTAGTGTTACACATATACTATGTGTCAGCAATATATATGCCAAACTAACTGCATCTGCTTCAAACAAATGTCCATCTCCCAAATGCAAACATAAGTGGTCCTCAGTTAAATATAAGGAGACACCCTTAAGTCTGGGGACCCCAGCACACAATGTCAAAGGCAACCTTGATATCATTCCAGGGGCTTAGGCATGGTCAGTCAGCTACTTGGAGCGGTCAGGGTCTTTTCCTTGTTAAGGGTTGAGCTGAATGTCTGGCACACAACCACTGGTCCTGGCTTTTTCAGCACAATTATAGGCTATTTTCCCCTGGATTGAGATAAAAGGAGGGATTGAGTGAGATGAAATCGGCTGATGAAGCTGTCAGTGCTGGTACAGGTTAGGAAAAATATCAGGGATGAAGTGTGCCAAGTAAGTCAGCAGTCCAGCCAGAGACACTGGGTTTTGGGGCTGTGTGTGTGTGTGGCGGGGTGGGGCGGTGTTCATGGAGTCATTGACCTTCTGTCAGCACTCTAAGCATTTCTCTGAGCTGTGAATAGTTTGCTTAAGTGGCAACTTCAAAGAAAGTTGTTAGGATCTGGTGGCTTGGTCTCCTCTGCCGTTCTTGGAGGCAGAGGGCATCCCTCCGCTGCAACACCCCATCAATGTTCCGTCTAAGTTGCACACACACGCAGCCACTTCATAGTCCCGCACACGGCAACTGGTGTCAGCATGTTAATTACTGACTTCCAGTTCCAGCACTCACTGTCGCGCATGGATCACAGAGCCCGTGCAGCCAGTTAAAAAATTAGAGGAAATGCTGCCCTCCCACCCCCATCTACAAGTGCACCCGGGCCCCTGTCTGTAAAGCAGTGTGCTGATATCCCTTTGTCTGCAGTGTCCAGGGCAAATATGTTTAAATTTGCAGCGCTTCTCCAGATGGCCAGCACGTGACTGGGTACACAATAGCTGTTTAAATATAGCGCCGACACCACAGATCCTGGGATATTCCGGCAGGATGAGACTTCTGCCTACGGTGAGTGGAGAATCCAGTTAGCATCAGTTAAGAAAGAAGTCATTACAGGGGTGTGGTACCTAATTAGTGAGGTGTGTTTGGGACAATAGTGCAAGAAAGCTTGCTAGGATTCACAGTAAGAAACTCTCTGTTACAAAAATTAGACTTAGTTGATTTCTTGTGTCCCATGTTACAGAAAAATATCCTGGCTACATATGTAGGAATTCTTGCCTACCTCAGCTGCATACATTCACCGAATTAACAACTCATTTCTAAGTATATCTGGTGCTACTCCTGGCATTGTCACCTGCACTCTTCCTAGAACGATGGTTAGTCGTCTAGCATGTTAGTAATGTAGGAGATATGCTGGAAAATGGTTGAAGATTTGAGACATTTAGGATTCTTAACAGGCTTGGACAAGGTAAATGCTGAGAGGATATTTCCCCTCATGGGACAGTAGGCCAGAGGGAATAGACTCAGAATAAAGAGACAATTTAAGACTGATAAGGAAGAATTTCTTCTCTCAGAAGTTTGAGAATTTTTGGAACTCTTTGCCACAGTGAGCAGTGGATGCAGAGTCTTTGTGTACATTTAAGGCTGAGATAGATAGAGTCTTAATTATTAGGGGAATCAAGGGTTACAGAAAAAAGGAAAGCAGATATGAGGAACGTCAGGTCAGCCATGATCCTATTGAATGGTAGAACAGGCCCAAAGAGTCAAACGGTCTACTCCTGTTCCTATTTTTATTTAGAAACAGTCTTATTGCGGTTGAGTACAATTCTTCCGGTGATGATTGCCCTCAGTGCATCATAAATGCCCACTTGAGTTGCTAAATATGTTCAAACTCTCTCCCAGTTAGCATTGTGATAGTGCCACACATTTCAACAGGGGATATCATCAATGTCAAGATGGGACTGTCTCCACAGGGACTGTACAGTGGTCACTCCTATCAACGGTGTCATGGACAAATGCATTTGAGACAGATAGTTTGGTGCGGCAGGTTCAAGTACACTTTTTGCTGTTGTTGGTTCCCTCACAACCTGCCACAAACTCATTCCAGCAACTCAGCCAGCTCAGTCAGTACTGGTGCTACTGAAACACTCTTGGTGACAGATATTGAAGTCTCCCATCTAGAGCACATTCTGTACTCTGCCCTTCCGTGCACCTCCTATGCTTTTTCCAATTGGTATTGAGCATGAAAGAATTCTGATTTAACAGCCATGAGGTTGGTGTGTTGGTGGTCATTAACAGCAGGAGGTTACCTTGTCCATGCTTGACTTAATACCATGACACTTCATAGGGTCTGGGGTCAATGTTGAGGACTCCCAGGGCAATTCCTTCCCCCGTGGACCTGTAACACAACATTTCACGGGTCTATCCTGTCAGTGATGTAGGAATGGCAATATTCAATTGAGAACTTTTATTTATTTTTCTATTTTGTGCCTAAGATTTTGTACCTAAGATGGTGCCAGGAATGAGAACTTTATACACTTTTCTGTATTTGAATATACCTGACAGTAAACCTAATTCAAATTCCTCTTAGAATTCCCTCCAACCAGGTTCTTAAAATAATCTCCATGCTCAAGTTGCAACATATGCAAAACAGATGTTATGGAGTCAATGATCAGTCAGTCCTGGATTTGTAGAGACGGCTGCATTCACTTCAGAGTTAAGCAAGTGGCTTGAAAGTGGCAATGAGACATCCTTGCATGTTGATGCACAATGGGATGGTGTATAGAGAAAATGATATTTGAACAATCCATCCAAATGAGTAAGGGAACAGTTTGACAAAAAAAAGGAGAACGGACAACAGTAAACTATACAAGATACAAACTACATTCACCTCCAAATCTATGCTGTTGACTGCAATTAAGCGCGGCAGAGCCATAAAATGCGATTCATGGAAGTAACAGTTTGCAAGCTGGATTCATGACCGACGGCTTTACTGCACTTAATCATCTCCATAGTTATACAGGCACGTCTACAGCCTACACAAAACTAATTCGGTTTGACACCATAACAATAGGAATTTCTGGAGAAACTAAGCAGATCTAGCAGCACCTGTGGGAAGAAAGCAGAGTTAGCGTTTCGAATCTGATGACTCTTTTCTGAACAAGGTTGACTGGATTCGAAGCTCTGCTGCCGCAGGTGCTGCTGGATCTGCTAAGTTTCTCCAGCAATTTCTGTTTTTGATTCGCATCTCTAGTGTCAGCAGATCTTTGCTTTGTTTCCTGGTCGACATCAAAACGGGGTTGGAAATGATAATGTGAGTGGAGATTGTTTTCTAATTCACCAAAATAAATGCCCATTGTTTGGGTATAGGACAAATTTATCGTTGCAACAGGTGCAATGAGAATGAAGTGAGCTGAATGCCATTCACAAAATTAGGAAGGTGGTACGGTGGTATTATAGATGTAGCGGTTGGAATACATTTTAGACATCTACATTTTGTTTCTAAAAGTAACAAACACGTCGTACTAAAGGAAACGACTTGTCAGTTCCAGTTTAACAACAAAAAAAATGGTGTTTTAGAACCTACAGCACGGTGAACGGTGTCAGGACATTGCCAGACATGGTGCCTCGGATCCCATGGGGTATTTCAGTGAGAATGTTCATGCTCTTCTCATCCTCCTTCGTGGTGTTGCTGTTGTGCTTGGAATGCGGAGATTTGCTGCCATTACCGCTGGCTTCGGTGGAGACCGGCTCCCCCACGTCGACGGCCGCATCGTGGCTGTGCGAGCCCACCGGCTTGGCCGGGTGGCACGACAGGATGTTGATGTAGCAGCGGCACAGCTTGGGGCACACGGCGCGAGGTGGCTCGGTTAGCTGCGACTCGGGCAGCTGCCAGTGCGGCTTGGGCAACTGGCTTGAGTCGTTGTGGTGCAGCACCACCATCGCCTTCCGGGCATCCGAGCAGCGCCAGAGCAACAGGCACAAAGCCAGGTTCAAGAGGCCAGAGCTGCTCGGTATCATCCTTTTACTCGCCTCTCATCGCTCTGGTCCCCCTCTAGCTGCCGGCCCAGCTCGTCTGTAGGGGGAGGAGGGGAAAGATGCCTCCCTCACCCTCTCTCGCTCCTTTTATTATTGATATCTTCAGGACCCTCCTCCCCCCACCCACCGACCACCACCGGAGGGTCGATTTTAATATGGCGAGAGAGAGAGATAGTATTATCCGGAAAGGGTCGCGGCCTGGAAGCCAGCCGTTGCCATGGTGAGTGAGGGCTCTCTCCCCACCCCCTTCCCCAAGGACCACTTCTGCGCCTGCGCACCTCCTTTGTTCCAGGGGCCTGTCGCTTAGAGACGAGCGCCGCGTCATCACAACATGGGGAATGGCCCCGCCCACCTTCCAAGGTCCGCTCCGCATTGTTAGGAGGCCATTCGGGCCGTCCTGTCTGCCTGTAACTGCCTCTCTGAGCTTTTTTGACTTCGTTGCCAATCTCTTGCCTTTTCCTTGTTTCCATTTTTTTTAATCATCGCCCCCATGCCCTTTGGAATGTAGTGGTAATGCCAAAGAACTATGAATGAATTTCCTTTATTGTCACTAGTAACCTAGATTAATATTCTGTGGAGGAGCCTCTCTGCTCCTATGATGCTGCTTGGCCTGCTGTGTTCATCCAGCCCTGCACCTTGTTGTCTCTAATATTCTGTGGACATCGGTTCAAATCCCACCATGGGTGATGTCGGAATTTGAATTCAACAAAAATCTGGAGTTAAAAAGTTTACTTAATGATAATCATGTAACTATTGCCGACTGTCATAAAACCCATTTGGTTCACTGATGTCCCTTAGGGATGGAAATCTGCCATCCTTACCTGGTCTGGACTACATGTGACTCCAGACTCGCAGCAACATGGTTGACTCTTTACTATCCTCTTGGAATTTAGGGATGGGCATAAGATGCTGATCTAGCCAACAATGCCTACCTCCCATGAACAAATTTAAAGAAAGGAACAACTCAATTGAACGTACCTTCACTGCACTTTTGGACATTTCTTTCCAGATCTGGATGACTCATTATGTGAAAGTTTCCTTTCTCACCTCACATTTGCTTTTTTAAAGCTCTGCCTTGTAGTTCTTGATTTTTTTTATGAAACGGAACAGGTTCTCCCTGTTCAATTTGACTATTCATGAATTTGATATCAAATTTCCTTTGAGCCCCTTCTCTCCAAGGAAGACTGTTCCAATTCCTCCAATCTGTCCTCATAACCAAAGTTCCCATTCCTGGAACCATTCCTGAAAACCATTTCAGCACTTTTTGCATTGCATTCACATCCTAAAATGTGGTCGATACAATTTCAGTATAATATCCCTGCTCATATACTCTACGCTGCAACTGTATGAACTCTGGTATACTGTATGCTTTTTAATAGTTCTCTCAATTGGTCCTGACTCCTATAAGAACTTACACACGACATGCCTAGATGTCTCTGTTCCTGCACCCCTTTAGTGTAGTGCCACATAATTTAAACTCTACTTCCATGCCCTTTCCACAGGTGTATGTCATTTCACTCTTCTCCACATGGAACATTATCTGCCACTTATCTGTCCATCCCACCAATCCATCAATGTCTTTTTGAAGTTCTACAATGCTCTTCTCACAGTTTATAATTCTTTCAAGCTTAGAGTCATCCACAAAATTTGACATTGTCTCCTGCACCCCAAGATCCAGATCATTTAGAAATATCAGGAAAATCAAAGGTCCCAATACTGACTCCTGGTGAACTGGGGGAACTCCATTTCAAAACTTCCTCCAGTGTGAAAAATATCCAATAACCATTACTCTCTGTGCCTTATCAATCATACAATTTTGTATCCACTTTGCTAATGTCCCTTTGTTCCATGCCCTTTTAGTCCTCAAAAATCTGTTGTGCGGCACTGTATCAAATACCTTTTGGAACTCCATGTATATCGATAGCCTTGCATTAACATGCTTCTCTGTCAAGTTTTCAAAAAACTTCAACAAGTTAGTTGTCTGTGATATTTTCTGAACAAATCCATGCTGACTTTTCCAAATTAACCAACATTTTTAACGTGAACATTAACTCTATCACATATAATTGTTTCTAGAAATTTTTCTTTCACAAAAGTTAAAAACTGACTGGTTCGTAATTACTGAATGATCTTCATAATCGTTTTTGAATAACTGCGTAACGTTTGCAATTCTCCAGTCCTCTGGCACCACTCCAAACCTAGGAAATTTTGAGGAGTTAAATAATTTGAGTATGGATGAAGTAGTAAATTATAAGCAAATGTTTATTTTAGAATTTTTATTAAATATTGGTGCAGACTGTTTATTTAAGTGTAACCAAAATTCATCACAGCAGAAAGTAAGGTATGCATACAAAAGGCCTTTGGTTGTTTAATTTTATTGATGAAAGGGTACTTACTGGGAACTGAAATGCATGAAAGAAAATATACGCAAAACAATATTTTGACCTCTTTGTGGCTTTTAAAATTCTAACAAAAAAAATGCATGTATCAAAATGTCTGTTATTGAAGAAAGTACGAATCTTTAAAGTTAAACAATTCTCATTTTGGCTCTGTTTTTTTCATGTATCAGTTGCCCCAGTTTTAATACTTATAGACAATATTAATAATTTTGATGAAGGGACTGTTATTACTATAACCAAATCTGCTGACAATACAACAATTAGATGGAAGGATGCAAGCAATCTACATTAAGGATAGTTTGAGTGAGTGAGCAAATTTTTAATTTTTTAAATTAATTTTTATTCATGGGATGAGAAGAGTCATGAGATAAGCTAGAATTTATCGCCCTCCCTGAATGTCATGGAGAATGTGATGGTAAGCTGCATTCTTGAATCGCCATAGTCCTTGGGGTATATGTATTTCCACAATGTGTTAGGAAGGAAGTTCCAGTCCTATGACCCAGCAATGGTTGTGTAGTTCCAAGTCAGAGTAGTGCGAGACTTGATGGGAATTTGCAGGTGGTGTTCCCATGCATTGACAGCCCTTGTCCTTCCAGGTGTTAAATGTTGTGGTTTGGAAGGTGGTGTAAAGGAGTTTTGGTGAGTTACTGCAATGTACCCTGTAGGTACCAGCATTCCATCTAATTTTCTTAGAAGTTGTGTGGGCTTCTGATGCCCCTATGCAGCAGTGACCTCTTGAACCAGAAGTCAATGCCTCAATTGACATGCCGATGTTCGGAACACTGAAATAGGTTAGAGGGAATGTTGGATCTAACACATTATTGTCACTGAACAGACTGAATATTGAAAGTGATGGTTGGGGTCAAACAAAAGGTGATTTAATTCAGAGGAAGATCATGTCTCACCTACTTGATTAAGGTTTTAGAGGAGGTAACAAGAATGATTGATGAGGGAAGGGCAATGGATGTTGTCTACGTGGACTTTAGTAAGGCAATTGATAAGGTACCTCATGGTAGGCTGATACAGAAGTTAGAATCTCATGGGATCCGGGTGAGCTGGCTAGATGGATACAAATTTGGCTTGGTCATAAGAAGACAGAGAATAGCATTGAAAGGGTGCTTTTCAGAATGGAGATCAGCAACAGTAGCATTCAGCAGGGGTTAACACTGGGACCATTGTTGTTTGTAATATATATAAATGATCTGGAAGAAAATGTAGCTGGTCTGATTAGTAAGTTTGAGAATGACACCAACATTGGAGGAGCTGCAGATAGTAAGGAGGATTGTCATGGATACAGATGGATTGCAGATTTGGGCACAGAGATGGCAGGTGGAGTTTAATCCAGAACAAATGTGAGGTAATGCATTTTGGAAGATCAACTGCAGGTGTGAATTATACAATAAATGGCTTGGGAACACTGACATACAGAAGGATCTGGGTGTACAGGCCCATAAATCCCTGAAAGTGGTAACCACAGGTGGATAAGGTGGTCAATAAGCCATACGCATGCTTGCCTTCATTGGCTGGGGCATCGAATATACAAGTTGGCAAGTTATGTTACAGCTGTACAAAAGTTTAGTTAGGCCACATTTGGCATATTGCATGCAATTCTGGTTGCCACACTACGAGAAAGACATGAATGCTTTGGAGAGGATACAGAGTAGTTTAGCAGGATGTTGCCTAGCCTGGAAGGTTTTACTTATGAGGAGGGGTTGCATAAACTCGGACTGTTTTCACTGAAAAGATGGAGGCTGAGGGTAAACCTGATAGAAGACTATAAAATTATGAGAGGCATAGATATGGTGGATAGTCAGAGGCTTTTTCCCAGGGTGGAATGGTCAACTATAAGAGGGCACAGGTTCAAAGTGAGGGGGGAACATTGAAGGGAGAAGTGCGGGGACAATTTTTCATACAGTGTGTGGTGGGCACCTGGAACACACTGTCAGAGGAGGTGGTGGAAGCAGGCATGTTAGCAATGTTTGAGATATATCTCCATAGGCACAAGAATGTAAGGTGAAGGAAGGCATAGATACCACGCATGGGCAATATGTAGTAGGCCTAATTAAGGATTAGGAATTGACGCAGGATTGGTGGGCCAAAGGGCCTGTTCTTGTGCTGTATTGTATTGTATCATTACAGAGCAGAAAAAGGCCATTTGGCCTATTATGTCTGTGCCTGGCTCTGTGTAAGAACAATCTGCCTAGTGCCAACTGTAAAAATATTCAGCTTATATTCAACAAAAATCAGCATTTAATCATGTCAACATTTCATCTTTGTAACTACTAAACTGTTTTAACATTGCAAGCTCAGAACCTTGGGGTCTAAGGGCTTAATGGTTGACATACCTATATCTTTTTAATATGGACCTTTGAGTTCACAGAGACCTCAAGGCAACTAGCTGTATCCATTTTAAATTATCCATATCTATACAATAGATTTGGATAATTATAAAGGTAAAGCATTCATCTGACCTGGTTTACAATCTTTGGAAGTATTTTTTCAAAACTCTGTAAAACTCCTGGATTTAATTGTGTTACTGAAATTACACAGACTATATGTAATGTTTACATTGACAAAGTATTGATAAAAGAGAATAGCTTCAAATTGATCAAGTTGTTTATGCAAAACAGACTAGATAAGGAAAGGGCATGATAAGGATTTTTGTAACATTCCAAAGCAAAGAGATTTGACCTATTTTTGCAGAAAGGGACTATATATAACAATAGTAGGTAGTGATGACAAAATTGCTTTGTAGGGTAATGGGATGTGAACTTTGGTCACACGGACAGTGTCCTTAGATGAATCACATGGTGTTCCATGTTCGTGGTTTACATGGGAAGTAAAGCCTGTCAAAACCCGTTAACCATTACCTTTATTAAGTGCTTTTTAATACATAATAAATCTTCCAAAATTGTAACAAATTAATCTATCCTTCTGTTTACTTTCTTCAAGTCCAAGACTTATGGAATTCACATTTGATTCTCACACACACTGCTGGCTCAGAGGCAAGAAACAAGGGTTAAAGTTTATTGGTGCTTCTGTGACTGAAAGTCTGTTCCCAGTGAGGGTCCATAGAGCTCAGGAACCAAATCTTTTGTTTTCTGTGGTAAACAGCAATGATTTACACTTCAATGTAAGGGGAATGATGGGAAGTTTGCAAGTGGTACCAAAATTGGCAGTGTGCTTGGTAATGAAGGGTACAACTGTAAACTCAGGATAATATTCTAGCTGAAATATAAATATAAGAGCTGGGAGATATGGAGAAGATACATAAAGCACTAACTACACCGCAGCTAGGGTACTGCATGCTCAAAGCACAATAAGAAATATGTGGGTCTACTAGAGAGGTTACAGAGGAGATTAACAAGGATTCTGTCTAGACAGGGGAACTTCAGTTATGAGAATGAGACAGGATGGGCTAGGGTTATTTTGTTTTGAACAGAGAAGGCTGAGGGATACCTAACCATGATAAAATGATTAAGGAACAGAAAGGCCCTTCCACTGATTAAGTGGTGCATAAACAGGAGTATAGATTTAGGATGTATAGGAGGATTAGAGGGGATTCTAGGAGAAATACTGTCACCTAGAGAGTGGTTGGAATCTGGAACTCACTACCTGAAAGAACGGTACTGACAGAAGCTTAAACCATGTTTAAAAAGTACTTGGACATGCATTGAGGAGCCATAAGTTACAAGGTTACAGAAGAGGTAGACATTTATATTAGACCGCATGGCAAGTGTCAGCCGATGCAAGCACTAAATGTCAAAGGACCTTCTTTCATGCTGTGAATTTCTTTGATATATAAAGATGTTGTTTTAACAGACTACAGAACACCATGGTACAAAGAGACTTGTGTGTCTTGTACATGAATCAGAAGCCAGCAAGTAGTCAGGAAGACAAATCAAATATTGGTCTTTCTTGCAAGGTGGAATGGAGTATAAATGAAGGAAAGTCTTGCTACAACTGTTCAGAACATTAATAAGACCACAACTAGAGTCTTTCCTACAGTTTTGGTCTAATTGTTCAAGGAGGGATATAGTTGCATTGGAAACCATTCATTTTACTCGGTTGATTCCTGGGGTGAAAAGTTTGTCTTCTGAAAAATGCTTGGTTTAGGTTGGACCTACACTCAGTGAAGTTTAAAATTGTGGGAGTTGATCTTATTGAAACATATACTTCTGAGGACATAGAAATTACTGAGAGGATTTCAGAATTTGCTGTAGGCATTTTGAGGTTAGTTGGGAGTTCTCCACTCCAGACAATGGTATAGACTAAGTCATTGAATACATTCAAACCAACTAATTCCTGAATTTTAGTGGAGGACAGACTAAGTGGGCTGAAGGAAAAGATCATCATCAGCCATGATCTTAATGGATGAAAGGGCAGAATTGAGGGGACCATACTCTGAAATCTGTCTTTTTGATTCCCAAATATCAATTTCTTGTCCATCATCAGTAACTCCTGCTTTCTTTTTAAGTTTTTGTTTCGCTTCTCAATAACTGTTTGAAAAATAATTGCATTATCATTCAACTCAATGTAAAGAATTTTTAAGATGGAAGAACACATTGTGCAAATTGCTGAATATCCACACGTTTGGGCTGATCCAAGTGATTGTAACCAGTCAATAAAAGTGAAATACTGGTGGATGCTGGAAACCTGACTTAAAAACAAAGAAGACTGAAGAAATTCAGGAGGTCTGGCAAAAAGAAACGGGTTGGCTAGCTCACAACAACAACAGAAGCTTCTGGAAAAGCTCAGCAGGTCAAGCAGCATCTGTGAGGGAAAAAGCAGCGCTAACATTTCTGAGATAGTAGGAACTGCAGATGCTGGAGAATCTGAGATAACAAGGTGTAGAGCTGGATGAACACAGCAGGCCAAGCAGCATCAGAGGAGTAGGAAGGCTGACGTTTCGGGCCTAGACCCTTCTTAACATTTCTGGTTCGGTGACCTTTCCTCAGAACCACCGGAGTTATGTTGGTTAGCTCAATTTGCTGGACTGTGGTTGCCACTGAGTTTAATTCCGCACCAGCCGAAGTTACCATAAGACACTCACTCACTCAAGTTAAAACCACCTCCAGCCATCTCTCTCTCTCTCTCTCTCTCTCGGAAACAGCAACCCTATAGTCTTTATCTTTAGTAAGAAACAAGAGTTAGCGTTTCGAGTCCGATAATGCCTTCTTCAGAACTTTTAAGGGTAGCAACCACTAGAGCAGGTGGAAGCAGGTTAAAACGTCATATGCACGTTACTCCGGTGGGCGGGACGCAGTAAAACGTCGATCGGCAGCGACAGGTGGAGGAGGCAGATATCCGCCTCAAACTGGGCAACTGAAAATAAGTATCGGCGAAGCGAGCTGCTTTAGGGCTACCAGCGGGATTAGATACACAATCAGCACGCGGCGGCTGTTGACTCGATACAAAGTTGTATTGACGTTCGATTCGAACACGGACAATCACCGGGAACAGTCGATCTCATTGCGCAGGCGCTTCCTTCCCGGTCCACGCTCGAACCACCGCCCGCTGATTGGGCCGGCTCATCGGAAGATCGCTGAAGGCGGCCAGCGGATTGGTGGATTTCGATCGGACTGATGCTGCGGGTGGCTCTTGTTGCTTATGTGCGGCAGCTCGGCGGCTTGCTGTCCCAGCGAGCTTCTCAGCGCCGACGCTGGTGTTATGGGTAAGTGGTAGTTCGTCCAACCTCTCCAGTAACCAGAGATAGTAGGAACTGCAGATGCTGGAGAATCCGAGAC